TTGGAAGTCGGTAATCACTATTTTATCTTCTCAAATCAGATTTCGGTAAGTCGAATGATGTTTCGATTTCATGCATATTAACGGCATGCTCTTGATGAATATAATATGCACATTATCGGTGTAATATCTCCCACAATATCCTGTCATGGGTTAATTGTGATGCTTTTTGATACAAAACTGTTGGTTTGAAAGTTGGTCTATATTGGCATTGTATTCTTTCAATAAACCATGGTGCCATACAATTTTTCTCCACATCCCCTACACCCCTTGAAGAAGTTAATCCAGAGAATTTAAATTTTCAGGTGGAAAGTATAGTTCTAAGCATCATTTCGATGCTTTCAAGCCCTAACGACGAGTCTCCTGCAAATGTGGAAGCTGCGGTAAGTGTCAATGCATCAGATACCTCTGATTATTTTAATCACTCAATTTAGTTGTCACTTTATCATGATGTGCTTGTTCCTCTTAGGAACTTTATCCTTTTTTTCTTTCCTTTTGTCTTTTAGTTGCTATTTTGCTGTGTGTTTACCTAAAACACATTTTTATGTTGCCATTTTTCTGGGGGTTGTTGGCTGTCGGCTGAGCAATCGAATTTTTCTGATACGCATTCTGAAGCTGTAGATAAGATCTGCTGGACATTACAAGTTCTATTGTTTCTTTTAGGAGTAATGCTATTCATCCCCGGGATGAAAACACAGTCTACGTGACGTTAATGTACCATTAAATGAGTCATTTAATTTCACCTTTCAAACCTATCATTTAAAGCCACATAAACTGTATTTTTTATCTCCACTGAAAATGAATAACATTACTCTTCTTTTAGGTATCATCAGGCCAATATGGTGATGGGAATCTTAGTAGAGATTATTTAATTTAGCCTTCTTTTGGTAACCACTCTTTTAAAACTCGTTTTTCTCGTACTCATTTTCAATCACGTTCTCACAATAAAATATTCTTTATATAAACTCAAAATTTTTTCCTATTTTTTAACTACACATTCTCCCAAAATTTACTATTCAAAAACTCATTTTTTCCTAAAAAAATTCTGTCAAATAGGGGCTTATTAGAAAGTATCTATAATTTTCTCTCTCCCTTCTCGGATTCCACCAAACAAATGGATCTCTGTATCATTGTTAATTTAATTGCTTCGGATATATTAAAGTATGTCTGGGAAGTGTTTATAATTTTTTTTTTTTTTTATATAATAAATAGATAGAAATGAGATTTGGACAAGTGGACGATACTGTGGGTCTCTTGAAAGGTATGNTGGACAAGTGGACGATACTGTGGGTCTCTTGAAAGGTATGTAAAAAAATGATTCGAGTGTTTATAAATGAGCCAAACACGGCTAAAGGTGTGTTTGAGCCACATTATTTTGGAAGAATGTATTTTGGAATAATAAATTAATGGAGAGTGTGTGGTTGAAAATTAAAGAAAAATTATTGATGAAAAATATTATTTTATTAAAAAATATGTGATTGAAAATGAGTAGACGAATAAGAATGTGAATTTTAACATGACTCAAACATAGGCTAAGTATCAAATTCTCTTAATTCATAATAGTACTCATTGCCATCTTTGATACATTTTGGGTCCAATTTTGACTTGAACCAAGTGCATCTCATTTTAGTTTCTCTTAAACAACCGAAGTCCTTAATGGAGTTTTTGGTATGGAGAATTAAATAGTATTTGACATTATGAAAGGAAGAAAAATCAGCCAAAGTATATTGTTTATCATAATGTCTAGTCCTACACCAAACGTGGATAAAAGTCAAATTGTACCCGAGCTTCCCCATCCCCACTCCCTTTTTTTCTTTGTTTTTCTCCATTTCAGGTTTCCTAAGTTGATCTCTGATTCTTCTTCCTCCTTAATTATGCAGAAAGAATGGAGAGAACAAAGGGATGAATTCAAGAAAAACGTGAGTCGCGTAAGACGATCACAAGAAATGTTGTATGGCCTGGAGCTCTCCTAATTGACTCAACCAACTACTCAATATTTTCCTCCCTAATAAATCCTACCTCTTCTCTATTTATAATTTTTTTTGTAACCAAATCTAACAGAATTTGTTACTATTAGCTGCTTCTCAATTCTTCTATGTCATTGCAGAGCTTGATAGGAGTCTATCAGTAGGTTGGGCTCACTAAGCTTGGACCTTGACTAGACATGTCGCGCTTAAGTTTAATTTAACTTAATTGTCAAATGTCATACCATAAACCGTCATATGCGTTTCATTTCAGGGCATTACAGGAGTAAATTCTAAAGTCAATACAATTTTAGATATATCCATGAGAGTGCAATTGTCTCCGAGTGTGTGTCTCTATGTGTGAGAGAGTTATTATCACCTAATTGGATGGAAATACAAACAAAGAATTTGAGACAATTAATATGAAAGAAAAGAGCAGGCAAGTTGGCAAAATAAAACTATGCCATCTTGTTTCATATTTGCCGGCATAATTGGCCTTTGTTTTGATTTGGATATATTGACACTGGGGATGGAATTTGGGTTATGCTTACATGCATTTTTGCAATGGCTTAATGTTTCGAGTGATATTACATGCTTCGTTCTGATCATTATTGCATATTTTTTTAAGCAGCGAAGGGGGTTTTTTCAACTCTATAATGAGCTTCCTCCAAAATTACCCAAAGAGTCCTCCAACAGTGAGATTTACCTCTGAGATATGGCATCCCAATGGTTTGAACACTTTAAACATTGAAGAGTCCTCTATGCCATTATTATTGTTATAACTTCTTTAGCACAATTACTCGAAACTTTGCATAACATGCAGTTTACCAAGTGGGAAGGTTTGCATTCAATTCATCATCCCCCTGGTGATGATCCAAACGGTTATGAGCTTGGTATTGAACGCTGGTCTCCTGTCCATACAGTAAGCTCTAATTACTCTGATGCCAACTTTATATGTTATGCAAGTAATTATGTTTGAGTTTCTGGTAAGTGGTAATCAATATTTAATTCCAAACTTTATTGTGTTTTGTTTAATATATATTTGCAGACAAAATTATATTGGCCATTCATTTGAAGAATTTAAACATGTCATGAAACATCTGAAGTTTTCTTGATCAATTGGAAGCTAACCCATTCTATTCTTGATTGACTTCTTTAAGGTTAAAAATTATTTTAGGTTTGTATTTCTGATGAAGTGTTGACAAGCCAAGTGGAAAGTAGTTAAATTCATTGCGAGATAACAAGGTTGAACCAGAACTTTGCCGGTTCCTCTTGTTTCTTTTGATTCTTTCACATAAACGCACGCGAGAGATTCTTGGAGATACAAGTAGAATGGAATGAAAACAGATATGGAAACTGAGAGCAAGAGGGAAAAAATAGTCAAGGAAACCTTTGAAGTATCAGAAGTGGCTGCATAATTATTTGCCGATGGTCTTTATCAACCTTCAAGAGAGGAACATAGGAGGAACTGTTAGAATATTGCTATTTTTCATTTTTAAATTGGCCAAATTGAGTCACCGATTCTGTGGAAAAACTCCTGTATTTTTTACTTCTGAGATAATTATAGTTGGGCATGAGTTCTGAAAAAAATGATGCAGTATAGTGAGTGGTATTTAGGTCCCGAAGATTGACTGTTTTAGGTATTTAGATTCGATTATTAACAATGCAGACTTGAGGATGATCTAATGTGTATGATTAGATCTGGTTGGATGAAACGAAGAAAGTGTTAATTGGAATTCTATGCGATAAGAAGTATTTATAAGGAAAGAAGGCAACTTATACGCAATTTTTATTAGACCAACTATGTTCTACAGTATTTGGAGTCGGGTTGTAAAAGGACAAAATGTCCATAAGCGGAAATGAAGATGTTAGATTGCACGTGTGGACCGATAACAAATGAGAATATAGAATATATACTAACATCTGGAGGTGACAATGATTGAGGATAAATTAAGGAAATGATGACTTTGGTTAAGAGAGCATGTCTTTAGACACGAAGTTCTATTTTCAGAGGGGTGGTGTTATGTGTACACAATCTTTTACACCCCCTCACATGGAGGGGAGCCTACACACAATAAAATATTTGTGGGCTCCCCTTCATGTGAGAGGGGTGTAAAAGATTGTGTACACCATAAGGTGTACACATAGAATAATCCATTTTTAGAGTAATGTGACTGCACTAGAATGTGTTAGAAAAGTGAGAGGTATGCTGAAATCAATGTGGTCTGATGTGGTTGTGAAGGTTTGATTTCAATGGATGTCTTTTACATGTGTCTGAGTAGATGTGACCATGGATCAAACTGAGTGGGGAAAAAGAATTTATGTGGCCAACCCAAAAACAATTGTTACATGGCCAAATGAGATCAACAGGCCTGATTTGGTTCTTAGGATCATGGTAATACAAAGTCGTGTGTGCAGCCTTTATTCTACTTAATCATGCTGTTAATCAAAGATAAATATAAATTTGTGCTTGAAAAGGCATATAACTATATACATACTGGATTTTTCTTGATGCTCAGTACTCAAGAGTTTACAATGACTTGCAATTTTGGTGTTGCTTTGAACTCTCTCTTTTAGATTGCAGCCTGTGAAATTCTTGAATTATCCTGTCATGGGTTAATTGTGATGCTTTTTGATACAAAACTGTTGCTTCGAAAGTTGGTCTATATTGGCATTGTATTCTTTCAATAAACCATGGTACCATACAATTTTTCTCCACATCCCCTTCCTCCCTTGAAGAAGTTAATCCAGAGAATTTAAATTTTCAGGTGGAAAGTATAGTTCTAAGCATCATTTCGAAGCTTTCAAGCCCTAATAACGAGTCTCCTGCAAATGTGGAAGCTGCGGTAAGTGTCAATGCATCTGATACCTTTGATTATTTTAATCACACAATTTAGTTGTCACTTTATCATGATGTGCTTGTTCCTCTTAGGAACTTTATCCTTTTTTTCTTTCCTTTTGTCTTTTAGTTGCTATTTTGCTGTGTGTTTACCTAAAACACATTTTTACGTTGCCATTTTTCTGGGGGTTGTTGGCTGACGGCTGAGCAATCGAATTTTTCTGATACGCATTCTGAAGCTGTAGATAAGATCTGCTGGACATTACAAGTTCTATTGTTTCTTTTAGGTATCATCAGGCCAATATGGTGATGGGCATCTTAGTAGAGATTATTTAATTTAGCCTCCTTTTGGTAACCACTATTTTAAAACTCGTTTTTCTCGTACTCATTTTCAATCACATTCTCACAATAAAATATTCTTTATATAAATCCAAAATTTTTTCCTATTTTTTAACTACACATTCTCTCAAAATTTACTATTCAAAAACTCATTCTTTCCTAAAAAAATTATGTCAAATAGGGGCTTATTAGAAAAGTATCTATAATTTTCTCTCTCTCTTCTCGGATTCCACCAAACAAATGGATCTCTGTATCGTTGTTAATTTAATTGCTTCGGATATATTAAAGTATGTCGGGAAAGTGTTTATAATTTTTTTTTTATAATAAATAGATAGAAATGATATTTGGATAAGTGGACGGTACTGTGGGTCTCTTGAAAGGTATGTAAAAAAATGATTCGAGTGTTTATAAATGAACCAAACACGGCTAAATGTGTGTTTGAGCCACATTATTTTGGAAGAATGTATTTTGGAATAATAGATTGATGGAGAATATGTGGTTGAAAAAGAAGGAAAATTTATTGATGTGATGGAAAATATTATTTTATTGAAAAATATGTGATTGAAAATGAGTAGAAAAATGAGAATGTGAATTTTAATGTAGCTCAAACAGAGGTTGAGTATCAAATTCTCTTAATTCATAATAGTACTCATTGCCATCTTTGATGCATTTTGGGTCCAATTTTGACTTGAAACAAGTGCATCTCATTTTAGTTTCTCTTAAACAACGAAGTCCTTAATGGAGTTTTTGGTATGGAGAGTTAAATAGTATTTGACATTATGAAAGGAAGAAAAATCAGCCAAAGTATATTGTTTATCATAATGTCTAGTCCTACACCAAACGTGGATAAAAGTCAAATTGTACCCGAGCTTCCCCATCCCCACTCCCTTTTTTTCTTTGTTTTTCTCCTTTTCAGGTTTCCTAAGTTGATCTCTGATTCTTCTTCCTCCTTAATTATGCAGAAAGAATGGAGAGAACAAAGGGGTGAATTCAAGAAAAACGTGAGTCGTGTAAGACGATCACAAGAAATGTTGTAGGCATGTTCCTCAATGCAGCTTCAGGTTATTTTGCATGAACGCAATGGTTTCTAGGGGTGGACATCGGGTTGGGTCGGGTCGAGTTTGAACCAAAACCGACCCGACCCGACATACTCGGTTTTGGGCTTTTCACATCCCGACCCGTCCAACTGTTT